AAAAAAAAGGGCCAAAACTCTATCCAAACCTGGTGTTGAATTCAGGCCTGGGTCCAAGAACCTCCTCATTCAAAATAAACTCCAGAGGCCCCAAGGCCTTCATCACTGCAGACTCCAGGCTGTCCAAATTTGGGCCAGGTCCTTCCTTCTCATCCAGCTTCATGGGGATAAGAAATGGTGGCAAGACCCTGACACCACCCATGGGTCTCTTGGGGCTCATAGGTAGTCTCCTGGGTGGCTGGAAAAAGGTCCTTGCCAACATGGCTGCTGGGCTCATCATAGGTCTCATCCTCATTGGCATCTCTCCTTCATCCTTGTCAAAGCTGCCAAAAAAAACACACACATGTTTATAGCAAACTGCCATAAATAGAGAAATTATTTTTCAAAAAGCTTTTAAATTACATCATATCCAATTAACTTGAGGGAAATTATATGTTAAATTACACACAGTAAATTGTATTCAACCCTGCTGAGATGGAACATTCTCATCTTTAAATCGCCATTTTTTCGTGCAAAAAAGTTGCCTATTTTGGACCCCAATGTTTCTTTATACAGAAACTGTTTAGAATCCTTAAAAAGCTCTTTTAAACCAAAAAAGTACAGTATTCGGATGCTCTTTGAGAATAAACAATTAAAATTATCTTACAACTGTTACAAGTGAATAGATGGATGATTTTAATTGGGAAAGTAAATGTATAAGGCAATAACAAAAAAGGACATTGGTTTGGGATTCTCCTAACAGTGTTTGGGCATTTAAAATTTGTCATTGAAATGAATTCCAGACATAATTTCCTTTCATTCGAAAATGCATTGTCACATTTTAATAAGAGCTTCATATTCAATTTGCATACTTCATATGTATATGCCAAAAAATATATAAAAGCTAAAAATACTTTTCAAAATGAAATTTCATATCCATCATCAAGGCTTATTTAAAATTAAAATTTGCAATTGAACTCTTCCACTCTCTTTCAAAAGATATCAAGTTAAGTTTTTAAATGTTTTTCTCTTTCCTGTAGTGTCAATAAAATATCAGCCAAAAGACCCCCAGAAATTTGAGTTATGAAGGTTTGAGAGGGAAATCCTTAAATTTAACATACTGAGATTTACAATGCTGTTTTCCTAAGGGAATTCACACAGGAACTTGAAAAACAAATTTGGAGATTTTTGAGTTATTGAGGTTCAACTTTTGCATGATCATTATTACTTTTGCATCAATATTTATTCCTTGTGGGCCTTTGCCCTACACTTTCCAAAGTTTCTAACTCTAAAATTTGCAAAGACATTTGCTTTGGAATTTTGAACATTGTGAATTGCACCAAACAGGAAGCATTTTGTCTTAACTGATTTTATTTATTTTTGGAAGCAAGTTTTTATTCCACAATGCAAGATTTTAATCAGTGATTGTGTGTGTGATAGGTGTCTTTATGGAATCTGTGATGAGACAATAATACAGTCAACCCGTACACAATGGACTTGATTTGTGCAACAGACTAGTCTGCTGTGTGAAAAGTCTGTTATGTGAAATCAATTATTAAAAAAATGAAAATATTTGCTTTTTAAAATCAATTTTAAACCAAGAGACAAAGTCTATTATGCAGACTTGGTATATTGTGCAGGAGGGAAAACCAACCTCAAGAGGCGGTCTGTTGTGTGAAAATCTGTTGTTTGGTATTTTGTTCGAGGGTCAACTGTAAGTCCTCTTTTAACATCCAAGGAGTGAGGATGCTCCAGCTTCCTCTATTTTTGCAGCAATAAATGTATGCACTTTAAATTAAAATCCATTGGAGGCTGGGTAACTGCTGTCACAAAAATAAACAGCAAAATTGTAACTTGTCATGCTAAATTATCAAGAACAAGAATCACCATTTCCCAAAAAACTTGTCCTTGCGCATCTTTCTGAGAACCAGGAAGAACTCTGGTTCTCATGCCTATTCTTGAACCTCCAAGGTTTGCATCATACCCAAATTTCAAGAAAACTCAATTGCTTATACAGTATTGTAAAAACACTTTCATTTATCCTTGAAGGATAATTTTCCTGGTCTCACTTTCACTGTTTTTGGAACATTCCATTTTGAGCTCTTATGCTCTTCACTCAAGAGAATTTGAAAGATTTGAAAAGTATGTTTTGAACTCAAAGTACAACTTTTTAATATAGATGAGTGAAAGCACCCTGGTTGTAGCCCAACCAAACTATCTATAGTTTCATGTATTCCTTTCATATTCCTAACAACTGCCTTAGCACTCAGGTGTCTCTTGCATCTGGAATGCGGTTTTTGCAGCTTAAAATGTGTAAGGTATATATAGATATTTTTATTTAATTTGACTATCTGGGAGGGAATGTGGTTTTTGCAGCGTAAAATGCCTAAGATGTATTTATATATATATATATTTTTTTTTTTATTTGAATTTTTGGGAGGCATTACACTTATTAGTAGACGGAGATGAGGTTTGAGCTGTTGAAATAAATTCAATTCTACAGCAAGGAATAATTCAATCATAAGAAGAAAACGAATAGACATGGAATAGATAATGATAATGATACTGATAAAAAATGATAAACCTGGAAGCAATGGCGACCACTGGACCGAAAGGTTCATCACGGCCGCCACGGCAGAACACCTTGAGTGATCTCTGGGCCTCGAAGGGCAAAAACGTCGGCTGGCGGCGCTTCTCCAACACGCAGTTCATCATGGCTCTTTCTT